ATCAAATAAAAAACATCGACACAAAATAAAAATGTAGAATAAGAAAAAGGCAATAAAATTTGTCCTTTAATCTTAAAAATATTATGTTTTAGCTCAGTCGTGATCAGCAGAAATAATTGAAGATAAAAATGCCTTGAAAAAGTAGAAGAAAAAAAAATCGGAAAAAAAGTTTCACTTGAGAAACAGTTTGAGAATTTGTGGTGGATTTGAGGAAGGTTGAAGATGTGAATGAATGTTGAAGAAAAGGAAACGTTTGAGAATAAGTGGGTGATTAAAAGTGATTATTACTAGTTAAGGCGTTATTATTAACGTTTTGAAGGGGGTTCCAAATTACTTGAGGGGTTTTAGACCATTTGAGGGGGTTCCAAATCCCTTGAGGGGGTTCTAAATCACTTGAGGGGGTTCTAAATCACTTTTAGGGGTTCCAAATCACTTGAGAGGGTTACAAACCACTTGAAGGGGTTCCAAACCACTTTAGGGGATTCTAAACCACTTGAGGGGGTTCCAAACTACTTGAAGGGGTTACAAACTACTTGAGAGGATTCTAAACCACTCGAGGGGGTTTAAAATCACTTGAGGGGATTCCAAACTACTTGAGGGGGTTCAAAACCGTTTAATAGGGTTCCAAACCACTTAAGGAGGTAACAAACCTCTTGAGGGTGTTACAAACCACTTGAGGGGGTTCCAAACTACTTGAAGGGGTTACAAACCACTTGAGAGGATTCTAAACTACTTGAAGCGGTTTAAAATCACTTGAGGGGATTCCAAACTACTTGAGGGGGTTCAAAACCGTTTAAGAGGGTTCCAAACCACTTAAGGAGGTAACAAACCTCTTGAGGGTGTTACAAACCACTTGAGGGGGTTCCAAACTACTTGAAGGGGTTACAAACCACTTGAGAGGATTCTAAACTACTTGAAGCGGTTTAAAATCACTTGAGGGGATTCCAAACTATTTGAGGGGGTTCAAAACCGTTTAAGAGGGTTCCAAACCACTTAAGGAGGTAACAAACCTCTTGAGGGTGTTACAAACCACTTGAGGGGGTTCCAAACTACTTAAAGGGGTTACAAACCACTTGAGAGGGTTTTAAATCACTTGCGAATGTTTGTAAATCACTTCAAGAGATATCAAACCATTTAAAAGGTTCCAAACCACTTGATGAGTGTTAAATCTATTGAATGGGGTTCAATCTATTTTTTGGGGTTCATTTCACTTTCCATTTTTTGGGGTTTTGACCTAAGGGGGAAACAACTTGATGAAAAAAGTTTTAATCGATTTCAACTTTAACCCATTTTCTCCTTTAAAAGAAAAATTCCTTTCAATCACCCAAAAAAGTCTTTTTGTTTTCCATTTTTACAACCTTCGATTTATCTAGCTACACCCCTTATTACTTGTCTTTAATTTACTTAATCTTTAAACTCGTCTTGACCTCCCTCATTCTTATCTACATACAAATACTCCAATAACTCATTCACATAATCTACTTTGTACTAGGTCACAACTTTGTTTCATCACTTACTCAATAGAAATTAATTTTTTGTTCATTCATAAAATGCGCATTTAGGAAAAATATTTCACAATCAATTTTTTTTTCTTCGTCGTTGCTGGTTCATTCAACCTAGCGCTGTATAATAAGCATATCAGTTTAGCTCTTTTGTTGTGTCTTGGTTATGCTTGATGATCTGAATTGGAGTTGATGGGTTTTTAAAAAAGGGATAACAGCATGATGGGAAGAGGATTTAATTTGATATTTTCATTGATTTTTAATTTTGTTGTGGAATCTCTCAACAGTTTTACTTCAATTTATAAAAATTTTGATTAAAAATCGATGAAAACTTTTTATCAAAGTTTTTCTCATCATGTTGCACCCCCCCCCCCCCCCCCCCACCCAATGAAAAAAATTCTTGTGTAATCTTAGAAATTCTAGCTCCTTTCTTCTGATTTTTTTTTTTAATTCTAAAACTCTTAAAAATATCAACATGATCCCAATTATCCGCAAATCCATCATCTCACCCCTCCATGATTCATATCAGCAACAAGTTTAATTCATTCATTCATCCACTTTCATTCTTTTTCATGTCACGATATGGCGCCTGTAGGCACCAATAAAAGTGACACTGTTGATTGAATATGAGTGTGACTCTGCAACAACATCTCACACTGCATACATTCTATAAAGGAATGTTTCTTCTTTTATGAAGCGTTCTTCGTGCCTGACATGCATCATTTTATCAATTTTCTTTTTGAACGATGAATATTGACATTTTGTTGATGATGGAAGGGTTTTTGAGGTTGTGTGATGTAAACTTGTAAGATTTTGAATTTTACTATTTTCCTGCATTAATCATTTTTTGAACCTTGTTCAGCTAGATCCGATAAAGTGTGCCTTCGAACTTACTGCACATGTGCTTAAATTATTCTTTTTGAATTAAGTTTTGATATTTTAACGTCATTAATTCAAAAAATGCTTCAAACATATCAATTTTGAAAAATAAATCAAAGATATCTTAAGCTACCCGCCAACTTCACGCACCATACAACACCTACACATCCTAGTTCCGATCCCCAAAAAACTAAAATGTAAACTCTCTGGTTATCATTATCCCAGGCACTTCCATGTTCACAAAATATTCATTCTCATCATAATCATCATCGCATAATCGTGTGCATGTCACGTACGCTGTATCACCTTACGGTACATTTTCATCCTTCTTCATAGTTAATGTCTCAATATTGTCAGATATTTATTCATGTGACACGAACTCATACATGTACTAAAATATCATATATGGCTTCTTGTTCTATGACATATTATGGGTTGTTGTTGCTTAAGGGTGTCTTGTTCTGGGTATTTTTTTGATGCCAATGCTCTTTTCGTGTTTGGTATGGAAAATGATCGAGATGTGAGTAGGTATGATTATGTGACTAGGAAGTAATGAGGAACAAGAAGGTTCTGAGATTTTTTCTATTTGTTTGAGAATTTTGAGGTTATGTTGCTGAATTCTGAGGTTATGTTGCTAAACTTTAAGGTTATGTTGCTGAATTTTGAGGTTATGTTGCTAAGTTTAGAGATTAACCAAGCAAGCTCAAAATTAATTAACAGCACATCTCAAATTTAACCATCCATCATTAAAACGTATCAAAATCGTACGAAAAAGCTACAAATTCATCAATCTACACATCCGCGCTAAAAATAGACACAAAAGCAAGCAAGAAGAAAATAAATTTGTGTAAAATAATTGAGGAACAAGACGAAGAAATTCTCGCGTGACGCACTTGCGGGCTCGTCTGTGTTTATTAACGTTATCATCTCTCCGTTGTGTTGTATGTGATATGTACACAATGATTTTGAGAGCACGAGTAGATTATGAGACGGTCGTCTCGGGTTTTGTTGATATTTGCAAAACTGATTTTCGGCTGGTGTTTATGAAAATTTAATTAAGGAGGAAGTAATTGGTGTGTTTTGGTTGTTCGTGGGAACTTTTAGGAGTTGTGCTTGCTGTAAAACAGTTTAATGAATCTTTAAAAAGACTGAGAAAATATTTTAATAGATTTTGAGGTTAAAGTTAAATTTTGAGGTTATTTTGCTTATGTTTGAGTTTTTTTTTGTGAATTTTTGAGGTTATGTTGTTAAATTTCTAGGTAATGCTGCTCAATTTTGAGATTATGTTTCTGTATTTCTAGGTTATGTTGCATTTTTGAGGTTTTTTGTGTTTTTTTGAGGTTAAATTGCCAAATTTCTAGGTTATGCTGCTTAATTTCAAGGTTACGTTACTAATTTTTGAGTTTTTTTGTGAATCTTGAGGTTATTTTGCCAAATTTTGAGGTTATGTAGTTCAAATGAGTTTATTTTCCTGAAGTATTGGGTTATATTGCTGAATTTCTGGGTTATGTTATTAAATTTTGAGGTTTTTTTTGTAAATATTTGAGGTTATATTGCTAATTTTTGAGGCTAGGTTACTGGATTTTGAGGTTTAAATGAATGATTTACGATTTAATCTTTTCAAACTCAGTTGATTGCTTTAAATTGTCGACTTACTAATTCAAAACGCAATCACTTAAAATTAATTACATTTATCAGAGCACAAATTAAATTCAAGTGGAATTTGGGACATTTTTATTATTAATAAAGTTAAAATTCCTTCAATTAATGTGTCCTCAGTTTTTGCTCTTTAAATATTCCAAATTCTCTTTATCAATTCAGCATACCCACATCAATATCAATTCAATAAAACCTTCAAAAAAAATCCATTAATACAGTCAAATGTCAACCTTAATCTACCCCAAGAAGAAATCAAGATTCACAAAAAGGCCAAAAAAAATATATATAAAAATAAATTCATAATCAAAGCGAAAGTTTTGTATTCTTCATTTTCACGTGCTTCTATAAATTATAGCTGATCACATTCAAGGAAAACTGAGAGAATATCAAATCAGCACATTTAAAATTGTCTGTTGCGCAAAATTTAAAGAGTTGAGTTCTTTTTCTTTTGATTGTGGAATTTAAAGACGCAAAAGAAATGAATGAAGAAAAAAATGTTATCGCACACTAGTGAATGAGTTTGAAATAAAAATTAAAATATTTATATGATTTATTTTGAGAATATTTTAGAATTTTTACTGCGCTTTTGTAAAGACTTTTATTTTTTAAAAAAACATACAAAAATTTTTTAACATTTTTAATTTAATCAAATTTTTAAAAATATTACCAGCTAAGAAACTTAAAAAATAAAAAATTTAAAAATAAAAAATCTATAAAAGTAAAAAACTAGAAAAACAAACTTCAAAAATAAAAATAATTCAAAAAAAAAATAAAATAAAAAGTTCAATAAACAAAAAAAAAGTTAAAAAATAAATAAAACTTAAAACAAAAAACTTCAAAAAATAAAAGAAAAATCCAAAAAAATAATTAAAATTCAAAAATTTCAAAAAACACCAAAAAGTTAAAAATACAAAACTCAAAACTCAAAAATTCATTTAAAAATTTTAATTGTTTTAAACTCATTTTGGTCGAATTCAAATTCAACCAAAACCCTCGCCTCAAAAGCTCTGAATTAAAATCCACAAAAAAAAAATCCACACACAACACAACACAAAACATGATCAGTTTCACGATAAGTTTCTCCAACTTTACTCAGTCGCTTTTTAGCTGTTGAAGGAGACGGAAATAAAATAAAACCAGAGGTAAAAGCCAACATTTCACATAATTAAATGGTTCGATTGACTGCACTTCTTCGTGATCCACTCAAACTTAAGCAAGCAGTTGCACCGGCTATGTAAGTCAAAGTTGAGATTTTATGAAAAAAATTCAAATAATTTCACCATAATTCCATCCAGCACATCCTGGTGGAAAGACGTCCCCCTCGGTCCACCCGATGTAATTCTTGGAATCTACGAAGCCCACAAAGTCGACCCAAATCCCAACAAAGTTGACCTCACAGTCGGTGCCTATCGATGTGAAAATGGCAAGCCATACGTGCTCAAAACTGTTCTACAAGCAGAACAAAACATCGTCGACAAGCAATTGGATAAAGAATATAATGACATTGGCAGTGAATATTTTCGAGAGGTGACGTATCGTCTAGCCGTAGGAGAAGAACTGTGTGATCGTCCGCATGTCAGTGTGCAAGTAAGTAGATTAGATTGTCTGGTTTTATTTTTGGAGCGGGAAGATTATAGAGGGAGAGGGAGAGAGATGGAGATAAGAAAGCACGTGAATGACATATTTTGAGTTAATCTATTTCCTGGTTGCACCACTGCCATACTTACTTATTTTTTTCCTTGGCTGAGGCGCACGTGGGCTCATTATCGCGCTTAGAGAACGTTTGAAGACAGTTCTATCCTTAGAAACCTTCTGCCAGTTCGGGATATCAAGGACTCTATCTTCCATTTCAACACGAGATCATAATCCACGAGATCTTCGGTCTTCCTTGCACCAATGGCTTAGCACAAAAAATTCACGACACCAAAAAAAGTAAATATCGCAAAAAAATATTATAAAAAGAAGCAAAACGAGCAAGTGAATGACGATAGCAGAGCGAACATTTACATCAGCCGGCTGAAACCTGTTTTTGTGATATTTTTGGCAATTTTTTTATGCTGCGTTCGCAGATAAGAAACACTCTCAATTAGTTGTTTTTTCACTCTTGCTCGACTCTCTCTGTTTATATTATTTTTATTTTTGAGCGGTAAAATGAGATCGCGGGTATAGTTGTACTTACTTACTTACTGTAACCATGTTCCTATGTGGAGCTTAGGTTACAACAAAAGGTTTTCCATCTGACTCTGTTGCTGGCCTTGTCACCTAGTTTGTACATATTCTCTGTCCGCACATTAAGGAGTAGTATCGGGTTTAGTGGTATCAGTACTGAATGGTTTGTAGCACTTATGCTAGTTTCCAGTGCTGCTATCTTAAGCAACAATGTTGATTGTTATATTAAAGACAACTTTAACATGACTTAAGCATGCTTTACTAAGAAGACGGTCTGAAAACGGTGTCTTAGCTTCTATGTTGTGCATTATGACCAGATACATATCAAAAGAGAGTCCACAGTGGCTGTAAACCAGAAAATAGCATGTAATTCCATGAAAACTGATGCTCCAAAAATGAGAGCGGTCAAATTTTATTTAAGATTAGTCACTAAGGGTGACAAAAATCGTTGTTATCTTCCTTAAGCCGATTCCTAGGGATGCTTAAAATTATCCGACACTCGAGTACAGTGCCGTAGTTCCTCCAGTATCCTCGCTATTATATTAAGCTAATAAATAAATTTTCTAATCATCATTTCTCTTCCCTAGAGCATCAGCGGAAGTGGCAGCATAAAAATAGCAGCGGAAGTCATCAAGCGACTCTACAAAGGCAACCAACTTGTCTTTATCCCGAACCCTTCATGGGTTTATCATGCTCCAATGTTTGAATTATCTGGAGTCAATACAGCATTTTATCGTTATTATGATGAAAGAAGTCACTACATTGATCATAGTGGACTGATGACAGACTTGACATACATGCCTGACAACTCGATAGTTTTGTTCCAAATGGTTGGACATAATCCAACAGCTAGCGACCCATCGCCTGAGCAGTGGAGAGAAATGTCAAGAATTTTAAAGAATAAAAATGTTTTGGTATTTTTTGACATGGCTTATCAAGGATTTGGCAGTGGATGTACAGAAACTGATGCATATGCAGTCAGACATTTCATAAAGGAAGGCCACAAAGTTGTTTTTGCTCAAAGTTATAGTAAGAATTTGGGAATGTACAGCGTTCGTGTTGGTGCTGCGACTTTCATGGTTGATGGAAAAGATGACGGACAGCCAATTTTGGATCAAATGAAGCATTTAGCGATGTGCAGCTATGGTCAACCGCCAATTCATGGCTCACAAGTTGTCGAAGAGATTTTTAGGGATAAAAATTTACAAAAATCATGGCACGAAGAACTTCACATGATGGTTGACAGAATCAAAAAAATGAGGGAACTGCTGACAATGAAGTTAAAGGCAATTGGATCGTCACATGACTGGAGTCACATAATGAAGCAGCAAGGAATGTTTTTCTTCAGTGGATTGAGTGTTGAGCAGTGCGAGAAGCTCATTAATGATCACAGTATTTATGTTGTTAAGAATGGTCGAATGGCAATTCCGGGAATTAATGAGAAGAATGTGGATTATGTGGCTCAGTGCTTGCATCAAGTAACTAAGTAGGAGCTGGAATGTCTGTATTGTGGGTGTGTTCCTCAGTCTCCACTGAAGTGAAGCCTTCTTTTTAGGTCAATATGCTTTATAAAGTACTAAGCTCAAGTTTTACCATTTATTTATAGTTGTTAAGAATCAAAATCATCCAAATTTAAATGAAATTGAATTAGTTTCTTTTTGGCATTTATTTTTTTATAATTTCTTTTTTTAATTTTATAGTGAAAATATAAAAAACAATAAAATTTTAAAAACATTATTTAACTGAAAAAATTAAAAATTGAATGTAAATTTTGTTTTATTTTACACGCTTTTATTTAACTCACTCTGTTATGGAGCGTCAAATCTTGTAATCGATTTTTCGATCACTTCTACTGCTCCAATCGAGCTCAAATTTATTATGTACACGTATTCCCGGTGACAATACATTATTTTAACACCTTGGAACCACAAAGTTGCTTAATTATTGTACAATTTAAGTAAAACTTTTTTATATGGGAAAAAATCCATTGTCAATGACATAAAATTTTGATTTGTTTAATATATTATCCTTGAAATGCTCAAAAGTCATTTAAATGATTCAATATAGTTTAAATAATATTACTAATAATTAATTATACTATAAATTTGAGCAGCTAAAGATATTCGGGTAAGACAAAAAAATTGACAAGTAATTTTTTCATGAATATACGTAAGTGAAAAGTTGAATTTTCAAAAAAACCGTTAAGCAAAAGTCCGTTACGAATTAATGCAAAATAACTAGTAATAGTCAAATATGCATTTAGCACACATAGTTTGAGCATAAAATGTATGCTGTATTAATGTATTACATTAATTCATAACAATTCACCAACATTTAATTAAATTGACTTTGCTATTTATTAACGGCTTGACGTATTTTTGCATAACATATAAACGACATTCATTGAATTTAAATTTAAAAATCCGTTATAAAGACGTTACACATAGATATGTGATTTGCATCTTTATGTTGAGAATCCACACACACACGGAATGGTACGGATAAACACAAAATCTTTAATTGAAGTTAGGACATTTTTAAAAGAGTTTCATTTGTTTTCAGGTATGACTTAAATAATTTAAAACGAATGAAAATTTTTGATAGTCTTTACTAATTACCCATTAAAAACTGGTAATTTATAAATAGTTGAACGAAACGGAGTGAAACGAAGTGGAGTCTAAAACTTCCTGTAATCTAAAAACTGTAATCTCCTTATTAAGTATGATAAAGATAGGGTTGTAACGTAACGAAAGCTCCAAATTTTGGAAGTTAAATTGATTTATAGATTTGATAAGACTAAAAAGTAGAAAATAAAATACTATAAAAAAACTTTTTTAAAAAAGCACGCTTTTATTTCCGATTACAGTGCACTAAAAAGGAGAAAATAATTTTTTTCTGAGAACTCAAATTTGATACAAAATTTTATGACTAAAAATAAAAGCGTGGGGCGCTATTGCATATTTCACTAAATCTTGAATTTGTGACAATTAAAAATAATCCATATATGTTTACACAAGCATTAGGTTTGTGAATATATTATAGAAAATCTAGAGATGGTTTAAATTGAATGCCCCACGCTTTTATTTTTAGTCATAAAATTTTGTATCAAATTTGAGTTCTCAGAAAAAAATTATTTTCTCCTTTTTAGTGCACTGTAATCGGAAATAAAAGCGTGCTTTTTTAAAAAAGTTTTTTTATAGTATTTTTTAATATAAAAAATCAATAAAACTAGGGTTTTCTAGCTTCCATTCATCGTCCTCAAATGCACAATTTGAATTCAATTTTTATTGCAATTTTTAATATTTAATTATTTTTTCTTTTCTTCCAGGAACCAAAACCACACCAAAACTGCCAAATATAATATTCATAAATGTTCACCAACTAAGCGATCTTCGAAAACAAAAACCAAAATTATGAATTCATTAATTCCAAAAAGTTAACAATAAATTCAACTTTAATGACAACTTAAGGAACATTTTGTGCTTAGTTTTTAATTACAATTTGTAAAAATGCCGCAAAATTTTAATTTATTTATAAACTTTCAACTTATTTTAATTCTCACGATCCTTCCGGTGACTTTAAAGTCACAAAATATTTCCGGTGATATTAATTTAACTGATTTGGTCAAACAATCGATTTTTACAAATTTAACGGACTTTAGGAATTTGAAAATATTCGAAAAAGAATCAAAAAATTTGTTGCAAAATGAAAAATTCAAAATTGAGACAGCCAAAGATGAAAGATCAAACCCCACTGAAAGCTCGATCAAATTGTCAAACCTTGACATTTTTAGCAATAAGCCATTACCAACGACAAAAGCAATTTTCGAAAATTTTGTAACCAAAAGTCCAACAAATTTAGAGACTAAAAAACAGTTTGATAGCAATAACAGCTTTAAAACAAGAAAGAAAACTGAAAATAATGAAATTGAGCTAAAATTTGAAAATAAAAGCAATTTCGAAAGTGAAATGATTTTCGAAAGTGAAAAAAACTTCGAAAGTGAAAAAATTTTCGAAAGTAAAAAGAATTTCGATAGTGAAAAGAATTTCCAAAGCAAAAAGAGTCTCGAAAGTGAAAATAATTTCGAAAGTAAAAAGAATTTTGAAAATGAAATGATTTTCGAAAGTGAAAAGAATTTGGAAGATAGAAAAAATTTAAAAATTCACAAAATATCAGTAAACTCTTTAACATCCCTAGAAACCACTAGTTTTGATAACTTAAGCTTAACAACAGAAATCAATTTCGAAAACACAATAACCAATCAGAATTCAGAAACCATGAAAAGTCTTAAAAATTCAGAAAACATTAAAAATTCACAAAACTTTAAAGTTTCAAATTCAACAATTTTCGAAGTCATTAAAATCGCAGAACCAATAATCGACACACCAGAAAGTCAACAAAACATCGAAAATCTCACAAATTTCGAAAACCTTAACATCCAAGCTTCCTTATTCTCAAACTTCCTCATCGATGTCAACGACACAATAGACATTGACTACTTGATGGACGATCCATCACAATATGTAAATACAACATTAGATTTAGACTCAATTATTGGCATCGAACCGACCGTCAGTCAAAATATCACAAAAGCTATTTCCAAAAATCTCAAATCACTGCCAAGTCGAAGTGTCCAAAAACCATCATCTAGTGAATATCACTGGCCAAATAAGCAAGAAGCAGTTGTCGAAGGTGATGTCATTCTCGGTGGTCTCATGATGGTCCATGAGCGTGAAGACAATGCAACTTGTGGACCAATTATGCCTCAAGGTGGTATTCAGGCACTTGAAGCTATGCTTTTTACACTTGATCGAATTAATGAAATGAAATTATTTGGACCGGATGTTAAAATTGGGGCATTGATTTTGGATGATTGTGATAAAGATACGTATGGGCTGGAGATGGCTGTGGACTTTATTAAGGGTGAGTCAGAATTTTTTTTTAAAATTAATTGTGGGCTATTTTTTGGATTTGATTATTAATTATTGAACTAGTTCATGGAGTTTGAACATCAATATAATTTATTTTGGGGAGATAAATTGTTGAGTATTTGAGTATCTAAAGTGAAATGTGACTATTAAAGGTCCCAATATAAAAAAAAAAATAGGCTGGTACGAGGCTGACATGGCCTAAATTATATCAAAAACGGCTCTATTCGAGCCTTATTTTAGTTTTTCGTCAATATATTATTTAATGTTTTACATTATGTGCCACTTAAGTGTTTCCATAGCTTATATGAGCTATACTTGGCATCTTATGGACGTGTAGAGCTTTTTAACTGAATTCTGAAGCTTTTCAAATAAAAGTTTCGTGAAGTACTTGACTAAGTTACTTGACTTTTGTGACTGAGCAGAGTCAAGTGTACTTGAATGACTAAAAGTGTCGTTAAAAGAATATTTTGTTTTATGAATGAATCCACGTGTTTCTTTTTGCTTGCTGTCTTTTAAAACACAATAAAGTCATTGAATAATGTAAGCTGAACCAATAGTTGGATTGGATTAGGATCTAATCGTGTAAAGTAACTGACTAGGCAATAAATCGCATTGGAGGACTTTCAACTGCTATTTGGTTGGCTTATCCATTTTGAAGAACTGATGCAAAAACTAGTATCAATAACATTAAGGTTAAGAATCCAAGAGAGAGAGCACTTACTAAAAGCATGAGTCTTAAATCTACTCTGGAACCACAAAGGCCTTACTCTATTTTATTTGCCATTGTGTCACAAGACTAAAACTAAAGATTCCGAACATTTCCACTTTCAATTCCGTTCCTTGCTTCATCAAAAGCTCTCAACTTGACAGTCAAGTTGACTCTCAATTTTCCATCAAGTTGTTTAATTTTCATTCACAAAATTCTTTCCCAATTTTCCAACACAAAACTTATTCAACATGTGGTTGCGGCACTTCCTTAACATTCACCCCCAAACAAACTTTCCATTTCAGCATGCCACAGCTGTTCAACATTCCAATTCCATTATATCGCAAAATTCTTCGATGTAAAAAGTCTTTCCAGTCGCTTTCCAGTCGGCAAGTTCTTGCTGATTTACTTGCTGTAACTTTTGCATGTAAAAGAAAAAAAAACATCGCAAAAATATTATTTTTTCAGTCTCTCTCTCTTTCTCACTCGTTCAGTCAGTTTTCTCGTCAAAAGACAGTTCCTTTCAGTTGATTTTTACGTTACGCGAAGGAAATACGCGTTTGTTGATGGTCGTGGCGTGTTGACGAGAAAGTTTTACTTTTTTGTGTTCCTTTGAATAAGGAAATTTGGGACTGCCGTGATACGGGGTCGCGGGTTTGTTGGAAATTATTGGATTTGAAGTATTGTTTGTGAAACTGGAAATCATAACTGAATTTGAAAAATTTTGATGGAAATAAAGTTTAAAAGGAAATTTAAAAGTTGGGATAAATTTGAAATGTTGAAATGAATTTTTAAAAATTGAGAAAATAAAAAAAAAACTTAAAAATTTGAAAAAAAAAACAGATTAAAAGGTTTGAAAAATTTTCAAATCATTTCAAAAAAACTTAAATTTAAAAGTTTCAAAAACTCAAGATTTTAAAATCAAAAAGTTAAAAATAATCGTGAAATTAGAAAAAAAAAATAAAAACATAAAAAAACAATTGATTATAAAAAACAAATTTTTAAAATTAAGAACGAATTAAAAA